CCGCTGAGCCACGCCCGGCCAGGCAGTAATTACGTTTTTTAAAACTCTCCCCAGGTAACCCAGGTGATCTCTGTGTTTGGAAAGTATTGGTCTAAAGCTGAAGTCCAAGCAGACTTGAGTATGCAGGGACGCCCCCTGGAATGCTTGTCTCAGAGGCTGGCCTTCTACTTCTTGCAGTCTGTGGGGTGGAAAGAGCCCCGGGAGTCTGCAAGCACCCCAAGGGATTTTAACGAGGGATTTGATAACCACACTTGGGTAAACACTGGCCAGAGGCACTCTACTCTTTTGATATCTACTTAGATCTTTGCCTTAGGGCTCTTGCATTCCCTAAGGGAGGAAAAAAAAACAAGATCTGGAGAGTCAGTCTAAAAGACTGACCTAGAAGTCCTATGACTCACAAGAGCCTGACTCACTCAGGGCTCAGTCTGTCAATTATTTCTCACAGCGTCTAAGACCCCAGCTTTCTCAGTGAAGTGGCTTCTAGCTGCCAATTACGAGCAATTGTCTCCTCTGAAGGCACCAATTCTAACAGCAATTCACTTGGGTATAATTGTGTGGTCTGGAGTAAGAGCAGCAGTGAGTCAAGGAACTTAAATCTGTTTCTGGCTCCAAAAATGCTTTATGATACTTGTTCTTTGTGCATCTTAGTCTCTGGGTTAAAATTAGCACCAACGTCCTTCCCAGGCATAACTGGGATGGATGAAGGTTACAAGGGTAGAGGCTCTCTTTTTGGTCAGCTCTTCAGTGCCTAGAACAGAACTGCATAAATGCATATTCTTTAGACTCTGAGGACCTCAAGTAAATCCCACAAAGCTATTTATGTGTCTCGTTTTTTCTATTTCTCTCTCCCCCTGTTCCTATTTGAGGAAGAGTAAATATTGGAAAGGGGGACCCTGGGTGGAACAGGGTCTGAGGAGTTCCATGTCAGCTTACTACCTGTGAGCCTTTGTCCCCACCTCACTCCCCACCTTTGCAGTCAGAACACAGAAACTCATTTAAAAAAACTTCTAGCTTAGAGATAATTAATAGAAAGAGGATGCCATGGATGTGAAAGTTTTCCTGACTATGCTAAATAAACCAAGTTAGATAACTTAATACAGTTTGTAAAGACACTTTTCCCACGGTCTGTATCTTCCAATTTGGGCGGAGGGCAGGAAAGGCACAATTCTTGGAACTCAAATAAGGAACAAAAATTCCTAATTTAGCCTCAGAAGAGAAGTCTCTGAAAAATACTTTACCAAGAAAAACTTAAGTGTAAAGTGATACCTCAAAAAAAATGCCAGTACCCATAGGGTCATAAGTTTCACAGATGTGCTTCAAAACCACTTCTCAGAGCAAGCTGTTGCACCAGCGTGCAGGTTAACGAAGGCGGCCAGCCACGCAGTTCCGCTGTTGAGCGATATGGCTCTGTAATGCCACATATGTAGAACTCAGGACATCAGAACTGCTTTGCCATAAAGATAGTACAGGTGGCGATGTAATTATTGTAAAGGCCCCATTGTATCCACCTGTCCTCACAAAAACTCCCTCTGCAGACATGCACCTGGTTTACACAGGGGAGCTATTTGAAGTGTGCCTTGGCGGTGGTTTATGTCTGGCCTGCCTCGCTCTGAATTCTTTCACTTGCCAAACAGCTGCTGCAGGACACTGCAGTGGCCAAGCAGTCCCTGTCAGCAAGGAGCCAGAGTCTAAGCTTGCGGTCTTCACGGCACTCACACGGAGGGCGGCCTTTCAGCCTAACCGCACTTGAAGTGATGATTGCTTGATGTTTGTATTAAACACTGTGCGGAAGGGAAGGAGCCTTTCAGTCGTGTTTTTTGTTTGTTTGTTTTTTTGAGTCATGTAACATTTAGAATTAAGACCTGCCTAGAAAAACTTGGCAGGATTCCTGAAATTCGTAATTTATACATTAAATTCTGCAATTTACTACTACAAAAGAGGTGATGAACTACCTTGAATAATGATAAACTAATAACAGTAGCTAACTCCAAACCACTATTTTGTGGGGACCGTCATTACTTGCTTTTGAAGTAAAGGAGCACTTGCTCAGTCAGGCAAGCCGTAGGGGCAGAGAGCAGCTTCTTCAGGCTGCTGCTGAGTCACACTAGCTCGCTGGCTCCCTAGGCTCCAACATGGAAGACGCTCCGATTCCCACGGGCTTTGATTGCGCTGCCTGAACTTCATCAGATGTTTCTGGGTAAGACTGAGTGCTCTATGAGAAATGGCCGTGTGTTGAAAATGACCCAAGGGTTTGAAAAATCCTAAGCCATAGGATAACCCCTTTTTTCTTTATACCCCCCACAATTTCTGATGCAATTTGTTTAGAAGGGACTCGAGTTACTGAATGATGAATAAATGAATTAATGGAGGGACAGAAGGAAGGGTCTGCTTGGTGCAGATTATCCAGGTTTCTGGTTTCCCAGACTTCTTTTCCTCTCTTCTGAGCCCACCTTTTTGCCATCTCACTGTTGATGAACAACTTCAGCTCAGAAAGGGTGACAATAGGCAGGACATACAGTGGCAAACATACCCATCAGTTCTCATTGACTTACTTTTGTAGAGAGTTTTAATGGAATGGGGTGGTACTCCAAGTGGGAAACGGAGAAAGTTCTCTGTGCCAGAAACTGCTCTTCCCTTCGCTCAGATATGCTGTTACCGGCGAAGCTTCAGCTGAGCTCGGCTGTCAGTGCTCTCCAGGAACTGACGGGCTGCATCTGTTCTCAGCTTGGCATGGCCTCCTCAGCCCCCTACACATCTCTAGAACTTGGCCCCCTCCTGCTCTGCCCCTGTTCTGGTTGTCTTGTTTCTTTCACTACCTGTTAGGCCCAGATCCCAGCTGTTCATTTGTTCTGACACTTCCCTTGCTCTGAAATCTGATTGCTAGAAGCTCTCCGTTGCCAACTACTCATGGAGTGCAGATCCCCGGCTAGGTTCTGGACCTTGCCCTAGCCCTCTCCCCAGTCTCTCCTTCCTTCTAGCCTACACTCTAAGCTTCCCGATACTGCTCCTATTGCCATCTATAGACTTAATTCTGACAGAATTATTTCCTCTTATCTCAATAATAAAGATATAGCTGGAACTCAGTGGTCCCTAAACCTAGAGGAAGTTACCATATTCTATCATCAGTTTCCTTGCCTCTCTCCCTGACTACAGCTAAGTTTCTTAAAGTTATGTACCTTTATTTCTCAATAAAAATTTGAAGGGTGTTACCAAAAAAAGGAACTCTTAAGAGCTTCATTGCATATCTCATCTCTCAAGTTTTACTCTGAAGTTAGCGAAGTCTCCACCAACCAGAATCTAATAAAAATGAACCACTAAGTTTCAAACTGATAAGTTGCTAATAAATTAAAAATACATAGGGCAGTATGGGGGTACTAATGGGAAGGACTGTGCGACGTGAAGTCACACAGACCTGGGTCTGCATTCTGGCTCTCTTAGGTAGGTCCTTGGCAAACTAGTCAACATCTCTGAGCCTTAGTAGTCTCACTGTAAAAAAGAGATACTAGCTTCCTAAGAGGACTGTTGTAAGGATTGAAATAATGTATACATGGTAACTATTATTCTTGTTATTGGAGCTAGAAAACTTGGATATCACTCTCAGCTTTACTTACCGGCTGTGTGATCTTAGACATATCACCTAGCATTTTTCATCCTTAGTTTCCCTGTCGGTAAAATGGGGAGAATACCACCTTATCCCATGGGTTGCCAAGAAATTCAAATAAGATAGAAAAGGTATGTAAAAATTATGTCATAAACTTTAAAAATTATGAAAAAGATGTTGCAATGAGAATTTCCATTTTTGTATTTCCTGACCAGCTGCTCAAATAGGCCTTTGTATCAGTGGAATTATTTTTCATTGATAAATTGGAAAATTTAAATGTATCTTTACTCTTATGGCACCTGAGTTAAAAAACAAACCAGAACAAAACCCTAACAGGCAGTAATAACAGTAATGTTAGATATTTTTGGCTAATAGATTGGTTTTATGCTGATGCATGCTACTGAGTTTATAAATTATTAAAATAGTATAATTATCTCTTACACTGATTGATTTGGGCTAGCTAGGAGAATTGGTTACATAATTTATGGAGAACTTTTTCTAATCCTCTCTTATTTTCCAGAAAACAGTGGTTTGAGGTTATAGCAAAACCTTTAGAAATTGCACCCCATCATCCTAATATAAGAGGTATTGTAACACATTTTAGTCACACAGATTGGTCTGACTTAAAAAGACTTTTAAAACTCTCAGGACAGCTGGCCTCCATGTAGGTCTGGAGAGTGAAGACAGAGGTCCAGAGGCCAGGGCACCCCACTGGGCCTGGAGGCAGAGCCCCTGACGGCCTTGTCAACCCCCCTGAAAACACCCTCCTTTCTAAGGTCATCTCTCCGGGCCATGAAACCGTTTATGCGTATTTAGAAGAATAAAGACCATTTCTAGACAGTGGTGCCTATTCTTCAGGGTTCCAATTACGTAATTCTACAAGGATCCCCTTGAAAACCAGCGAAGGCTTTCCCTGAACCTTCTCAGGCACACGCTAATGAATGCAATACTTCATTGCTCCTGTAAGATTCACTGCAGGGCTGTTCGCAAACAAACTTCTCTTCTATGAGCACTAATTTGTTTCCTGCATTTAAAAAGGAGGAAAGTAATTCCACTGATACAAAGGCCAATTTGAGCAGGCTGGTCAGGAAATAAAAAAGTGGAAATTTTCATCGCAACATCTTTTTCATTGTGTGTCACCCGGTTGCAATAAACACTGCCTGCTGTTTGCCCTCTTCCCCCTTCTGGAGGACGTTAGTCTACTGGGCCTCTTCAGCAGAGACCAAGTCCTCTACCCAGGCGGGGCAGTGAGAATTAGAGTGAAAAACGAGCACTTGCAGAAAGACCCCAAGCAGATTATGAGGCCATTAGATACGCAAACTGTAATGAAACCAAGATACAATCTGAAAGGGACCAAAAGAACCCTGTCTCCTGAAAAAATGGAGAGAACACATCTGGGTAGGTTGAGAATAAATGCATTTTAATACGAAAATTGCTTTCACATAAAGAGATACTTTATAAAGTACAAAAAAATCATATTTTAAAAAACAAGTTCACAGTACTTGCATTGTTTTACTGGTTTGGGATATGAACAACATCAGTCAGAGTTCTTAAAGTGACGATAAAACAAAAAACGAAGACAAGGACTTCAATTTTCTCCCTCTATCCTTGTCCTTGTTTCTCTTTATCAATTGCTTTGATCCCTAAAATAATCTAACTATAGGCCTGATGGAAGACGGCAGAGTGTTTCCTGAGGGCAGAGAAACTCTTCAAGTCTGAGGTTTGGAGTGTAAGCAGCAGCAGAGGGGAGCCAAGAAGCCTGAAGGAAAGGGAGGGGAATGCAGCAGGGCCCCGGGCAGGCTAGAAAGGCAGACCTGGTTCCTCGGAGTTCAGCATCAGGTAAATGGTCATCAATGCAAATTATGAGGCTGGAAAAAACTGCAAAACCAAACCAAAAAATCCCACATCCCACCCCAAGAAAACCACAAACCAACCAACCAGACAGAGAATAAATGATTAAAATTTTATCCCTAAATAAGTTACAAAAAGTAGATATTATAGGGCAACCTCCTGTGTCCATGGATGTAAACGAATGAAGTATCTTTAGGCTTGAATTTCATCTGGCTACTCAACTAGAGGGATCATCTCCTCAAGGAAGACTGATACGTTGCTCAGGTGCCCTGGGCGGGTTCCGTCACGACTGCTGGTACCTGCTGTTTATGCTCTGCTCAGAGGCATATCGTTAGCATCCCCTTGGTTCCTTACAGATCAGTAATTCTGTTCTCATGGTGGCTCACAAGGAGGCATGGATGCCTGTAGGCTTTGCCTCGTATCACATCCTTCTTTTCCAAAGAGATGCCAGGCCTGGGCCATTTTGCGAAGTTTTGCAAGATTGGGTTTAATCTGTGGGAAGAAAGAATAATTCCAATTACCAGTAGGAAAAGCCAAGTAGTATAGAAGTATTTCCTAATTATAGCTATTCGAATCTGTCTAGATTCCTCATTTCTGGATTCAGATTACGGATTTCTTAGGATAAGCGGTACTGAGAACTGGAAGTCTAGATCCCACCCCTTCAGGAACAGGGACATGGCTCTTTTTCATTATCATGGGAAGCAGACAGTTTTTAATGGAGTAAAATCTACTGGATGAATCAGAAAACAGTGGTACCTGAAAACTTCATGCAAGAAAAGACTTTATGGCCCTCAGCAGGGAAGGTAAGCAAAAGAAAAGATTTAGGCGCCAGCCGGGTGGCTCAGCTGGTTGGCGCATTGTCCCGTACACTGAAAGGCGGCTGGTTCGATTCCCAGTCAGGGCACATGCCTAGGTTACCCGTTTAACCCCCGGTCGGGGTGCGTACAGGAGGTAACTGATGGATGTTTCTCTCTGATATCAATGTTTCTCTTTCTCTCCCTCTCCCTTCCTCTCTCGCTAAAATCAATAACAACATATCCTTGTGTGGGGATTAAAATAACATATATATATGAAAAGATTTTGGAAAGCAGCAACATGGACATTCCTATCATGCTGTCATTTCTGTTTCATTTAAGATTACAAGGACAGGATATATTCTTTAATTTAATCACTCTGTGCCTTTATTGTATTACCAACGTCATTGTTCCTGGACTGCTGAGTAATCATGGCCAAAGCCTGATGTTGAAATCTCCTAAGCTTGCTTCCCTGGGCCTGATGATCCTCAAATCAAACTCTAGAGGTCCTTGCAGATGGCTACCATTTCCAGCAAGGTCACCATTTCCAGCAATACCATCAAGCAACTGGCTGTTTAGGTTCCACTTGCCAGCAGTGAATTTTCTGTTTCTACCAATTTTCTGTAATCCCAAAGAACTGCATCCTATCAAACCTAGAGCCAGTAGGTAACAGATGTTCAGAATACATCAGCTTGTACATGTGTTAAGCTAAAAAAATACAAAGGTATCATGTGTATAATCTGACAGTTTACCCTAAGCTCCATTTTGAATTTGAGCTAGAAGCTGAAATGGCGAGACTTTACATAAAACTTCCAAGGATTAAGACATTACATTTGAATAATAGGATCTGAAAAAGGAAAAGCAGATAGACTTTACTTCCTCTTCTGTTAGTCATCACTGTACCTGTTTTTCCTGCTCCAAGTGGTCTATGTCAGCTAATGGCAGCATGGAGGGTCTCCCATGAGCACACTGGAATGGCAGCTGGCACCAGGACAGAGCTTCAATAAGGCGATAGCTCTCCTCTAAGCTCAGGCTATCATTAAACTTAATGGCCCCTAAACGAAAGACAGAAACAAGAAGGTTATGATGTATATGGTGGGAAACCAATGCTGACCCTGGGTCAGAGCCAAGTATCTGGAAAAAGTAAAATGTTTCTGAGGCTCTTTCATGTGACTTTAAGACTGCTTGAAATTGGCATTTACGGCCATGGATGAAACTAAGGCTTCAGGACTGACCTCTCTCTCAGCTTTTCCTTATGGAGCCCTTGTCTTCCTAATCCCTGTCGGAGGCATTCCTTAATTTATTAGGATTTTGCTTTCAGAGGCAAGAACAATATTTTTGCCTGCTTACAGGTTTATGAAAGCAAGGTCATCTTTTGTCCATAGCCAATCTATCACCAAGATCTCTGTTTTCTACAGTGTCCATTTCATTTGCATTCAATGTCCAGTTCATTTTTCTAGTTCCATAATAACCTTCTTAATCTAAACTCTCATATTGTCAGAACCTGCCTTTATGCATCCATTAACTCACTCAGTCAACAAGTATTTACAAGTGTATACTCTGTATTAGGAGCTATACTGGGCAGAATGAGACAAGGATTTCCACCCTTGTGAAGTTTCTAATCTAATGGGTCTAACAGGTGAGACAAACATTAAACAAATAATTACAAAATAATTTAAATGATAAACTAAACGATATATGTAAAATACATATTTATATATAAAAAATATTTTATATTACTGTATATATTTAAATTATAAGTACTGTGAGATGTGAAAGAATATGTAATAGAAAAACCGAACCCAGTTTAGGAGGTCAGGGAAGGCTTCCCTGGCAAAATGTTATTTAATCTGAAACCTTAGGTTAAGAAAGACAAGAAAGAATCGGAAAGGCATTTCAGACAGAGGAGAAGGGCAAATGCGGAAGTGCAGAAACATAAGAACCAGGTCAAGGAAGCAGGCTGAATGTAAAGGGCACAGCGGACAGTGAGATGAAACCGGAGAGGCGGGGGCCAGAAAATTGCTTTCACATAAAGAGATACTTTATGTGAGTAAAGCCCCTTGCAGACCATGGTGAAGAGTGAAATTTCTATCCTAGTCTTGACACATTTTAGTTAGAAGAAGGATATGCTCAGAGGAATGTTTCAAAAAGATTCCTCTGGGTGCTGAGGGAAGAGTAGCTTGAAGCAGAGCCAGAATGGATGTGGGGAGACTAAGAGGACTCGGGCAAGAAAGAGGGAGGTAGCAGTGGAAACAGATCACATCAGGCAGATTTAAGATACATTCTGAAGGCAGAGATGGTCAAATTTGGTGATGGAGTACATATGAGGAGTAAAGACAGGATAAAGGGAGTTTAGGATATTTACAGGAGACAAATTAATGAGTGATTGTGGTTACTAAGCTGGAAAAGACAGGAAGTGAAGAGAGGAGAAGGTCAATGGAGAGAGATCAAACAGGGAGGGTGTCATTTAACTGGAGACCCCTTTGTGGTCAAATGACAGCTGCAGGGGATTCTGTAGCTGTCAGGATCCCTAAGGTAAGTTCCTCCAATACCACTTTCTATATTTTATCATATTACCCTACTCAAGAACCCTCAATGATTCTAATGCCTTGTGTATAAAACCTAAAGGTTTTGCTGTGGCCTTCTAGGCTTCTTTCTCACCAGCCTAATTTACTGATACTCTCTGCTGAGCCTCATAGCTAATCTGTGCCTTTGGGTCTCTACACAGGCTATTTCCTCCCCTTGCAGTAAACTTCCCCTTCCATCCTATGAATTCACGTCTCTCAGCTCATTCAAAACTTGACTCAAAATATATCTCCTCTAGGAGTTATTCCACTCATATTAGTCAGTTTGCATTATGGTCAAATACTATATGTGCTGGAATTTTGCTTTGTAAAGGTAATTTTTTAGTGTTCATTTTGTGTTCAGTTTCTTGATCTAAATTGTACCCTCCCTGAGATGAGTAGTAAATGTGCCTTCTACTTTCATACTTGCGGTACCCCTGCCATTGCTCAGCATGCAGAGGTCCTCATCACTGTTGTGTTGAGTCTTACCATGGCAGGCTTGAGATGCCAACACCTTCTGGACAGTCAGTGGCAATGTCCCTTGGATGCCTCCTGTGGTCTGGAGTAGCTAATGCATAAACATATTCTTCATTAATGGAAAAGGAAATGGGGTAATGATGCCTCTGTGTAAAAACTCAAAGAAGAGAAAAGTTTACCTCCACTTGCTCTCGAATAAGTTCCTACAAAGCAAACAGGAAAAGAGGCATTAATCTACTGTTATGTTATTCTTGCCCCCTGATAGTTTACAAAATATCCCAATTTTCTTCTTTATGCCTCCTGAAGGAGAGTTCCAGCAATACAGCACTTAGGTGCAAATTATTTGTTGTAAGGCACTTTAAATATGAAATACCAAAACAACTGAATAGAACTCTTATTGCATAGAGAATATATTTAGCTACTGAAACTTCCTCCAGAGGTAGCTCATCAACTCATGCGGTTATGCAACTGGTGAGAGCAGCCTTGATGATTCGACTGACTCTAAATAGCAGGGAGGCATCTAAGAGTCTGTCTGTTTGTATTCATAATCTCAACCAGAACAAGTGTAATATTACACAGACACCGAATAAATATACAAGAATCATCAACACAACTGTGCACTCAGTATAACACTTGCTTAGATATCATAAACATAAACATAAGTAGTCACTTTAGTTCCCACAGGCTTTTTTTTTTTACAATTCTTTTCAGGTCAAAAAGTTTATTTTCTGAGGCATTTTGTTGAGCAGTTTCTCCTCACTAGTATATCTGTCCCAAGGCCTTTTTAACAGTTATACCCCTGCAGATCTTAATATTTACAAAAGGACTTTAAAGAAATCTAAAGCAGACACTATTTCATGTTACCACTTTGTTTAACCTCTGAAAGTAACTGTTTTGAAATATGGCACATTTAATAACTTCATTATAAGAAAACACAGGATTTCTTTACTCCTAGAAATGGCAATGTATAAATTAGCTTCCTAAGATTACAACATGGTAGATTTTCTTTTTACACCAGACTCAGAAAATTCTCTCCCCTCCCCATCTACACTCTAGTTCACCATGCCTATAAATGAGCATAGTTTCAAAGAGCTAGGTGCCAGATACTACTGCATTTCTTAAAAGCCACCTATTTTCCCAAACAAGCTAAATAGGAAGATGTCTCATAATATCTGACCCACTAACAAAGCTTAGTGTGGAGAGAGATCAAACCTACCTTTTTCGCTATTCTCTCTTGCTTGTTTATCTGGGACTTGTAAGCCTAGTCAGGGGGAGAAAGGTCTATTCTCTGTTTATTTCATATTTCAGTGGTTCAATTTTAAATAATTTAAATAATATAAAAATGGTTCATTCATCAGGCTAGAGGACAGAACTTTATAGAAAGATGTATTAGTGATCTTTCAACTGCTAAGGTCCAAGTAGCTACCTTTTCTTCAAGACACCAAAACTTACTTCAGCCTCTTCCAGAGTCAACAGGATCTCTCCTGATCAGCCTGACTTAACATAATCAAGATTTACTGAAACCATAAGCATTGTTTCCATTTGAAGTAAACTCCTTACCAATAGTCTTTGAAGTCACTTTACAAAAAGTTTTTATTGTAATTTTCTGGTTAAATACTTAGGGATTGAATTACAATAAAAGATTCTAACAGATCTTATCTTTTGGATTTAAGACAATTTGGAGGAGGAGCCTTGGAAAAATAAGCTATGTTGGGAGGAAAGAGCGATGCTGAAAACAAAGGCTGTCTGATCAAAGGGCAATTTTGGAAAGGGTAAAATCAAGGTAATCCAAAAGCTCTCTTCTTTACGCAGCCAAAGTTCTTGAAAGAGTAGTATAGTTAGCTCCACTGTCCCTCCCTTCACTCACTCTCTGACCCACAGCAACCTGTCTTCTGCCTCACCTGACTCCCAGGCAATGATTCCAAGGTAACCAATGTCCTCATGACAGCAAAATCCAACTTGCGACTGCTGACCATTCCCTTCTTGCTTAAACGCCCGTTGGCTCTAGCAATACTACTTTTCCCCAATTTCCCTCCTCCCTCGCTGACCAAATATATTCAATGATCCTTTACAGCTGCTTCTTTCTGGCAGTAGCTTTCCAGCCCTTTGCTAAAGCATTTACACCCTGAATGCTTAGTTCCAGGAGCCCTTCTGAAGACATATCCCTGCTTGAAGACACATTCACGTACCTAACAGAGGCTGACTCCCCAGGCAGGTGCACTCCTCCCCATTCCCCTTCCAGTCATCCGAGTTAGGACCCTCAGAATCATTACGTAGCTGTCCCCTTTATCCCTTTCATAGTCTCTAGTTTCCCAGGTCCTCTGGATTCTAAGTTATGTGTCAAATACGTTCCTCCTCTGCGTTACCACTGCTGTTGACTTAGTCCAGCCCTTGTCCTCTATCTGAGCCACTGCAATAACCTTTCAACTGCTCTCCCTACCGCAGATCTTTCCCATATCAGTCTATCCCATTAGTTACCCACTAAATGTATCTTCTAATTTTTATTTTTATATATTAATAAAGTAATTCACATTTCTAGAAAATGATAACGCTAAGTTGATGTGGATTTGCCTGTGCTCCAAACAGAAAGCTGGCGATGGAGTAGGAAACCATGATGAATAAAATGAGACACTGTGAAAAAGAGCTGAGAGATCTGAGAAAGAATCAAAATTTTGGAAATAAAAAATATAGTGAACGAAATTTAAAAACACCCAGTGGACAAATTAAACATCTAGTTAAGTAGCAGGTGACAATTTCCTTGACTTCCACCCTCCTGGGCACAGCAATAATTTTGTATTTCCACAGCACTTTTTTTTAAAAAAAATTGATTTGAGAAAGAGAGAGGAAGGGAGAGAGAGAAAGAGGGAGAAACCTTGATTTGTTGCTCTACTTATTTATGCATCATTGGTTGATTCTTGTATGTGCCCCAATGGGGATCAACCCCCAACCTTGCTGTATCGGGACGACGCTCTAACCAACTGAGCTACCCGACCAGGGCCCATAGCACTTTTTAAAAACAAAATATTTTTATTGATTTTTAGAGAGAAGAAGGGAGAGGGAGAGAGAGAAACATTGATGCGAGAGAGAAACAACGATCAGCTGCCTCCTGAAACCTGGGCATGTGCCCCAACTAGGAATTGAACAGGCAACCTTTACGTGCATAGGACGGCACCCAACCAACTAAGTGACACCAGCCAGGGCCATAGCACTTTTGAACATACTTCTGCCTAAATTTCATTGTGTTATAATTACTTAAATGTCCTTCTTCCTCACCTTGAGCTAATTCATCTTTGGCTCTCTAGTACCTGACACACAGCAGGTATTTCATAAATGTTTACTGAATAAAAGATGAATATACAGAGTTTCTAAACAAAATAGGAGGTTACTATCACTCAGCAATTTCAACATCTACAGCTGTCTTACCTCCACAATACTCTTGGTCACGGTAGATCTTCCTCTTCGAAGTTCATTGGCTTCTCTTTCTACAAAACAGAGTGGTACTTTTCCTACAAGGACCAGAGAATCACTAGTGTCTGGAAATATAATTCCAAGGCCCATATCTTCCAGATTTTTGTGATAACACCTAAAGAGATAACCTCAATGTAAAAGTATGACAATCTCAAATATAAAATTACTTCATTTACATTTCAGTACTGGTTCCAAATACCTGATAGTTTCTCAAAAGCTGCCACAAGTTTTATAAGCTATACTGTTTTTCTTACATTTATGAGTATTTGTTTAGGATTTTACTATTAAATTTCCTTTTTGAATTACAGTAACTTTCTTTTTTTCTCTTTTCCATTGAGAGAACCAATTTAGTTCTACGTCTTGTTCCTAAGTTTTTATTCTTCACTGAGCAATTGCTAACTTCTCGCGCTGGCACTTGAAGGAGTTTGGCACAAATAAAAGGGCTAAGAGTGTTTGGAATCAGCATTACAGCAGGGAGGTAATGAATAGCCCCAGGAACTGAGAAGTCCTGACTAATGGGATGTAAATAAATGCATCTGCCTCTAATATAAATTATGCCCCAGGGGAAAAGATATATTGGCAGTGGCATACTCCCAAACCTGAAATAAATTCAGAGGCAATTCTCTTTTTCATTTCCAATAATCTGTGCTGCCTAAAAGTGGGAAAAGGTCTTATCTTGTGATTCACTATGTTATTTGTCCCTTCCTTGCAGTCCAGTGTTTTACTTTCTTCCCAGTATGATTATGATAATGAAAAGTAAGAATCTAGAATGCACCAAGGCAAAGCAGAGTGGAAGCAATTACTGCAGTAACTTTGTTTTCAGAAACAGGACAGCATAAACATTGACTGTTCCAAGAAATGGCAAGAGTATTCTAAGCCAACTGCTGGGAAAAATTATCAGGGTAACTCTATTCTATGCTCAACAGCTGTGATATAGAGGAAAGAACAGCTTTTGGAGTCAGAAAACCTGCATCTGAGTGCCTGCTCCACCACTTAAACGTTGTTATGACCTTGAACAAGTCATGCAGCTTCTCTTAGTCTCAGGTGACTCATGAGAAAGGAACAGTAACTATGCTTATACCCCACAGAATTGTTGTGAATATTTGCACCACCAACATCACCTCCTCATGGTGGTACTAACCATAAGAGTCTCCTTTGTTCCTCTGTTACTGTTATCGCTAGTGGAGGACTTACAGTGGAAGACAGCAATTTCTTCCGACCAGAGCCCTGTGGCTGTTGCTTCTCATAGGAATCTATGGGGAGAAAGATGAATGGGTTAAGAGTAGGAAGTGGTCTTCTAGCTTCACATAAAAATGAAGCATGGGAAGGCACAGCCATGTAAGTATGACAGTGCGCAGCAGTGTGTTCAATGTACAGTTTTAGGCTTTGAATTTCCATCATTAAAGTAAAACTAGTATATATCCAGTCTGTTTATTCATTTTAGCAGTATTTTCAAAAATAAGAAATACAGCCTGGCTGGCGTGGCTCAGCGGTTGAGCACCGGCCTATGAACCAGGAGGTCACGATTCGATTCCCGGTCAGAGCACATGCCAGGGTTGTGGGCTCAATACCCAGTGGGAGGCATGCAGGTCATCCGATCAATGACTCTCATCATTGATCTCTCTCTCCCTCTCCCTTCCTCTCTGAAATCAAGAAAAATGTAAAAAAAAAAAAAGAAAAAGAAATATAAGACTTAAATCTTGCATTCAAATGAACAATGCAATGTTCCTGTAGATAGTCAATAAATGTGGTTTTAATAACAGAGGAGAGGAATGTGGATTACTGAGGAAATAAAATGGGTTTACTGTCTAGTCCTGTGGCTCAAGAAGGCTTCCCAATTCCTTCAGAAGGGTTTCCCATCTCTGAAGAGACTTAGTCAGTAGTGCTATTCTCAAATGGTCCAGGACGTATAGCAAGTAAGTTTTTCCAACACTGTTTTTACTATCTCTTTTCCAACAATTAGGTCTTCATTTTACAAGGAAAAGTGAACATGGAGTAATAGCATCACCACTCTAGTCCATAAAATATCTCCCTAGGTCCTCACTTAGCTCTTTGACATTAGGTTTTTTATTACTTGACCACAGGAGTAAAGATTTTCCTGGTATTTTACCTCTTGGAGAACACACTGCTTCATGGCAAGAAAAAAGGTAGCAAAGATTAAAAAGCACATATTGACTTTGGAAGGATACATAGCAAATTAGTGATACTGGTTGCCTCTGGGGAGAGAAACTAGGTGGGATGAAGGACAAGGGTAGAAAGAAGACTTTAATATATTCCCTTTTGTGCCGTTCAGACTTGAATCTATTTGATTACACTACAACATCGTATGGGCATGTGGAGGGGCATATATTTCAGCTAGATGTCATGCTGAAATAGCCTAATCCTCAGACCCCCAATCCCTAGGGTTGATGATATAGATACAGCAAATGTATTCTTGATAATGTAAGATCCAAATGTTTGAATTAGTAAAGTGGACTACTACATTCCTTCAGTTATAAAAGAAGCCAAAACAGAGGACTTCAGCTTAATTTTTTAAAATATACAATTCATTTTCCTCACAACAGTAACAGTTAGAAAAACTCTTTCAGTTACACTAATTCTGCTGCGGAGTCTCAAATCTTTTCTAGTCCCAAACAGATCCTTACCAATAATAAGCTGCTCCAAACGAACACGCTCATGGGCAGCATGCTGATCCACCAAGACTAGCAAATTTCCACCTAGAAGGTTATCAAAGATTACTGAAGTTTCATATTATCAGATCAAGACTGAAATAATCATGTGTGTTGAGGGAGAAAAAGGTTAATTCAAACTATGTAACAAGGTGAGCATAAGAGAAACATACCAAGTAGGAACATGTGTCTTATTTCCTTAAAAAAAATGAAATTATGGGGGAATACAACAAATCATTTCTGATGAAAAACTCTTTAGTTCATTAGTATTTCATTTATAAAACAAGGTTAAACCCCTACTTTTTTTTTTTTTTAACATATCTTTACTGATTTCAGAGAGAGGAAGGAAGAGGGGGAGAGAGAGAGAGAGAGAAACATCAATGATGAGTCATTGATCGGCTGCCTCCTACATGCCCCCCGACTGGGGATCAGGTCAGCAACCCGGGCATGTGCCCTGCCGGGATCCAACTGCGATCTCCTGTATCCCAGGTCGATGCTCAGCTGCTAAGCCACACTGGCCGGGCCCTACTTCTTTTTTTAATTCTCCTCTGAGGACATGTTTTCATTGATTTTTAGAGACACAAAGGAAGAGAGAAACATCAATGTGAGAGAAACAGAGATTGGTTACCCCCCATACCCGCCCCGACAGGTGATCGAACCCACAACCAGAAACTGAGCCCACAGCCTTTTAGTGTACAGGAAGATATGCCAACTAACCGAGCCACCTGGCCAGGGCAAGCCCGACATTTTAAGCTTCAAATACTGACTTTGCTTTACTAATAGAAATTTGATACAATGAAGGATCATTAAACAGTACATTATTATAATCGGCTGACCTTGATTTGCAGGCTACCCAGGAGCCCATGAAGAATGTAATTCTACTACACTTTAGATCAGAGGTCAGAAAGTTTTTTTCTACGCTTTTGGTACAGATGGTTTCTGTCCAACTACTCAACTCTTCATTTTGAACTAGAGCAGCCATAGATAATATGTGAATATTGTAGCTGTGTCCCCATAAAACTTTATGTGTAATTTTAATGTGTCAAGAAATATTCTTCTTTTGCTTTTTCCCCAGCTATTTAAAAATGTAAAAACCATTCTTATCTACCTGGCTGAACAAAAACAGGTGGTAGTTGGATCTGGTCCACCAGCCACAGTTGGCTGTGATTTAGAATCAGCCTTCTCAAACTTAGGCACACAAATCACCTAGGATCTTATTAAAATTCAATTCTGATTCAGTTGGGAGGGGGGGGGGACACAAGCTTCTGCAATTCTACTAGACTCCCAGGTGATGATGCTACTTTCATACTTCGAGTAGCAAGGTTTTAGATGCTTAAGTGCAAGAAAGGAAGCAGAATGTCCTGACCCCAAAAGCCAAAACTAATCTTTTTCTCATTGACAGAAGGACTGACATTACTACATCACTTACATTACTACATCTTTTTAGCTTATAATTTAATACTTGGGCCAAAGGGTTGAGATTTATTGCTATTGATTATATTAAAATAAAAGTTCTCTCTTGAACTTGATCAAAAGAGATAATGCCTGTTTCTCCTCTTTCTACTAAAGATTAAAAAATTGTTTCTATGACACTATCAAATTCATGACATGAGAGCTTAAGATTTAAAGAAAAAAAGAAATAATTTTTCTGACAGCATGTTCAACCACAGGAACAGGCCCCAAATTGTTGAATTGTAAACTCCTTTGAGGATAGGAGTTGCAGCTGGTTGTGATGAATACTGAACATCCTGTATTGGGCAAGACAATGGAATAATAAATTGGAGGGAGTGATCTCAAATTAGAGCCAGTGTGAATTTCCAAGAGTCAGTGACCCTAAAAAATCTATCCTGTACCTGACTCTGGAGGAATGGTTTACAGTCAATATAGTGTTCACAACCGTTTTCATTCCTTGAATGAAACAGAATATCTGAAGGTAACTTACTAATACTGGAAACTGTATTTTTAATATTCCAACACAACAGAATATAAATTTCATATGGGCAAGGATTTTTGTCTGTTATATCCCCAGCATGTGTAACAACAATCAGGTCCATAATAGGCACTCAATAATTATTTTCAGAATAAATGAATGAATCTTTATTCTTTATGGTATCATAACTGAACAACTGTATTTTACTGTAGGTGGAAACATTCAATAAAAAATGATAATATATGACGATAATTTTACTATAACTTAATATACTTGTAAGTTACAAAAATATGTGGAGATATTAAAATACAAGTAAGTCAATTATAAGAATAGGTTGCTTTAGGTATTCATAAGCAACAGTAAAAACACATTTTGATTTAGAAAAATGTATTTATCTAAGAGTACTCTTTGGTGGCAGCTAACCAATACAATGATAATATAAAATTTCAAGAGAAATTTAAATAGGTCCCTTTTACTTCTTTGAACATCTATAGATTTTGTGGCTACACCCATCTCAGGAGCCATTAGTAGAGATTTGAGAATTTTAACAAAGAATTCCAGGTAATCAAAACTTTAGAATAAAATCTATTCATTTTCTAGAAACAGTAAAACTATAATTTCACCTTTATTAATTCCATATTTATGACAGAATTTTGATTAATTCGCCTTTGACCTATTACGACATTTATTAGATAAGTCTACACTGTAAATAGGGCAAAAGGGAATATTCTGAAATACAAAGAGAATGAACTGCTTTCAAACTTTAGAAGCACTTGCCTGCAGGTCTACTGCTCTGGAGCCAGGGCTCACAGCCACCCAGGCCTTTCCTGGAACCATACAGTATCAAGTATTGTAAATGTGCTCAAGAGTCTCCAAGTTTAAAGGAAGAAAAATGAAAAGAAGCCTCCTCTCACTCTCACCCTCTTTCAGTCCCTCTCTTCCACGTCACAGATTTCTGAGTCTCTCCTTGCAGCCTGCCAGCATCCTCCCCTACCTCTGACACAGTTCTCACCTGAGTCCCTCACTTCTGCTGTCACAAAGTTGAACAGATCATTTCAGTCCTCATCTTACTCATCCTCTTGGCAGCATTTATATGAAGTCTTGGCTTTGCAACACCACCTTTGTCTGTTTTCTTCCTATTTCTCAAGCTGTTCCTTCACAACCTCTTTCGCTGGTCCACCCTTTTCTGACTAGCTGTTAAATGCTGGGATTACTCTAGATTCAGAATCTCTTCTCCTTTCCCTTCACTCTTTTTCTAGGTAGTAAAAGTTACACTTGCAACTTCAATGACCAACTTTAGGCTGACAACTCAGGTTTATATCTCCATGTCAGAATACTTTTCTAGTCCCAAACCTGTAATATCCAGCCACCTTCTGGACATCTCTTCTTGAACGTTTCCAACAGATTACAGACTGAACTCGTGGTGCTCACTCTCTGCCGGCCTCTCGTCCAGACTCATGATGTCCTGCAACATCACCCACTCAGCTATGGAGGCCAGAAAACTAGGAGACCTCTTTGATATACCTTCCCCCCATCCAATCCATCACCAACACCTGTTGACTTTATCTCCTAAATATCTTTCCAATGCATTTACTTCTCTCTAGTCCACCCTGGTCCTCGCTATACTGCAATATCCTCCTGATGGTCTCTCTGCAGTTACTGGGATGCACCCTCCTACCCAGTTCATTCTCCACAATGCAACCAGAGCAATAGTTTCTTTTCTTTTTAAAAAATATATCTTTATTGATTTCAGAGAGAAGAAGGGACAGAGAGAGACAGAAACGTCAATGATGAAAGTCATTGATCAGCTGCCTCCTGCACGCCCCCTACTGGGGATCGAGCCCGCAACCCGGGCACGTGCCGTGACCGGGAATCGAACTGTGACCTCCTGGATCCTAGGTCGATGCTTAACCACTGAGCCACACCATCTGGGCCAGAACAATATTTTCAAAATACAAATATGATGGAACATGTGCCACCACAAAAATAACATCAGAAAACCAATTAAAAAAGAAAACAGAAAGCTTTCAATTGTTTCCAGTTGGTGTTGGGACAAAGACAAACTTGTAAGTGGCATTTGAGACTAGGCCTCAGCTTCTTGCTCTCACTCCCATTGCACCTGCCCTGATTTTCCTCACTAAGGGAGAGAAAATCACACACTGCACGCTATCCCCTCTGCCAACAATACTCCTTCTCTTCTTTCCCTAGTTAACTCATACTCATACTTCTGATCTCACTTTACCAACTAAACCTTCCCTGACCTCCCTGACTAAATCAGGTCTTCCAACACAGGTACTTACAGCATCTTGTTTCTCTCCTCCGTAACACCAGCTAGAGTTAACATTTCTGAAATTATCTGTTTCTCCTCCATGTATTTTTCCTCCACCATTGTATCCCTAGGGCCTAATACAGTCCTGGGCGTACAAAAGGCACTCAATATTTGTTGAATGAGTTAATATGATTGACAGCCCGGCCGGGCATGGCTCAGCGGTTGAGCATCGACCTAGGATCCAGGAGATCGGGGTTCGATTCCTGGTCAGGGCACATGCCCGGGTTGCGGGCTAGGCTGCCGATCAATGACTCTCTCATCATTGATGTTTCTATCTCTCTCTCCTCCTCTCCCTTCCTCTCTCTGAAATCAATGAAGATATATTTTTTAAAAAAATATGATTGACAAACTATTATTGTTTTATTAAAGCAGGTCACCAAGAGATTGTACTTAACTTTCGATAACCCTAGTATAGTTAATTATATAAACTTTCTATAATTATAAAAGGAATACATAAAAACATTATTTAAAAGTCAAACAATACAAAATATTTTAAAGAGTAAAACATGAAATTCCCCCTTTTCCCTCCCATTCTCACTCCTAAAGTAACTACTGTTTAATAGCTTAACATGTATCTTATATATGTATGCCTTATATATGTATGTGTATGTTTATAAAACTAAATGTGCTTTAAAATTATCATAATATTAATTTAGATTGGTTTTCCCTAGTCTTCTTTCCAAATCATTGCAATGGATATATATATATACACACATGGCCTTAAAAGGAGGCTGTAGGAAGACCAGCTGATTGTTAGTCAAGGCTAAACTCCATTCTTACCTGCTTTGCCACTTTCCTCAGTCTTAGTGCTCATTAAACAGGCAATAAACTTGTTATCCACTTGCTGGAGAACCTGCCATACATTGAAACAAGTGGTACAACACTAAATAAAAATTAACGAAGACTTATCTGTATAGAAAGAGACAAAACTGTACCTAATTTAGAGTTGCTTGCATTATAGCTTTCCTATCTGAGGCTGAGTTAGGTGCTGATGAACCTGAGGGAGTCGTTGGGAAGGATAAAAGGATGGGCAAGCAGAGTGAGCAGAGGACATAAAAGGAGCACACACAGAGGCATCTAAGAGGGAAATGCTAACAAAACTTTAGAGCAGACCTGAAATCTTCCCAAGGGAATGACTTCTTAATGGGCATATAACCAGAGAATTATTAATATGACCAGGACTGCTAACAAATAGAGCTGATATAAATTTTAAAAATTTATGCAAAAGCAAGGAAAAGCATTTTGGAAGAGCTAGTCCATTAAAACGGTAAGTGAAAAATCTACCTGTGGCTTTAGGCCTTAGTGGTTCCTCTCTGTCCAGGCACTGACAAGGCTCCCCCCAGTCTATACCCCATAATCTATACCTCTACCCCATGGCCTATTTCTGGGTCAAACATGCCAGGTTAGGAGTTTACCTAGATGTGTCTAAACTGCTAATTTGTTCCCATACTGAAAACAAGGAAACAAAGTGAAAATAAGACGGCCAGAGTGGTATAGAGAAGGGGCATCTGGAAAAGCAGATGGGACAAGAGGTCCCGATTTTTATTGGAACGCCTCAACCTGGGGTCTCCTAAGTCATGTCATTTGTAGCCTCACACAACAGAGGTTGTTTGAAAAGGGACATTGTTGCACATTTAAGGACAGTATTTCTGCAGCACTTAGTTGATTTATAAATTACTGACAAAATATAAAGTCTGTAAAAACCTTGAAACTGGGAGCCTCGTCCATCACCCATCCTAAGGACATCTTCTTTGTGAAGAGTTCGGTCCCTCTCATTCTCTTCTCATGATAAAACTCCAGTAAACATCAACCCACATGCGCCTGACCAGGGTGCTCCACATCATTAAATAAACCAAATTTCCTAAGAGTTAGTCTAGCTTAGGGCTTATATATGTATTTTTATGAGATTTCAAAATCAATCTTTTACCTGCATCGAATGAATCATGTCCTTGGTGAAGCGATAAGGATATAAGATGTTGTGAATTTTAACAGCTAGGCCTTCAGCCTGACCACTGCTTACATCAACAGCAACCTAGAAAGACCCAGCACAAATATCATTTAAATTTAGGTGTGTGTTTTTTTATGTCTGCAGAACTGTTTTGCCAAAGATCTCAAAGTGCTTTAAAAACTTTCATTTTCATAGAGCCTACTAGAGGTGGGCTGATTTCGGAGAGCTTATAGGAATTCAAAAGGCTCTATGAACAAAATCATTGAAAAAACCCAATATTATTTCAGGTTAACAATTGGTCTTGGCTCCATAATCAAGTCCTTAAAGATATCTTTAACTGAAGGATCAACAATTAAGTGTTCATCTATTCTACACCCTCATTACAACACACAAAGTACATTCTGTGATAACCCACTGAAGAGAGTACTCTCAGTTCAATGATGAACTGTTCCTCCAGTACATGATTCACTACTTTATTTAATGATAATGGTTTTTATTATCGCCACCCTAAATACTCTGCCATAGCTACAAGTTGGAGTTTTGAAGAGTGATAAACACTTTCACTATTCCCACACTGATTATATACGCTTATTCCAAAATTAAAGCTGAGCTCCCAAAATATCATGAATTCTGATTCCTCCTTTCCACATTAAACATTAATTTCCAAGTAAATTATTTGGAAACATACCCACTTCCCATTCATAATTACAAATTAGTATAGTCAGTCACCCATGCCCAACTTAAATAAAATTCAAATATTAAAATAACAAGCGAAGAAAAACTGCCGCAGACCCACCTCTGGATAACGGGCAAATACTGGATTGTCCCATTCCGAGAACAAGGACTGAAGTGATCCACTCCCAACAGCATCTTCTACAGTACCTAGTGCGAAGGGGGACAGGTAAAGTTGGCATCAAGAGCCTCTGGGAAAAAGGTGAATGACATCTCATATTTGGTGTGGTGCAGTCTCAAGACCAAAGATCAGACCCATTGTTCCAACATGCTACAAAGGTTTAGTGTTTGTTGTATCTCTAAGTTGTTTCAATATGTTACTTTTTAAACTACAGTTGATGACTGTATCTTCTCACATTATAGCTTTTTCTCCAAACTATTTTCAAGAAATATTTCAGAATACAAGCCTAGGAGAAATTGGTTCAAATTAGTAGCCCCACTTCCTTTAGTAAAAAAATATATATACCATAATCTATTTTTAGAAACAAAGAATAGGAAAATAATGTCTGTAACTTTTTAAAAAAATAAGAGTTTTGCGTATATAAAACTGCCTCAATATGGAGCACAACTCCAATCTTTAAAAATAAGAAACAATTTCTCAGTCACAAGACACCACAGACTGCATAATCACTCAGTATTGACCTCAAGTCTGGAAAAGTAATTTCTGATCTACATGCATGCACAGAATTACTTAGTTCTGCTGTTAAACAGGACCATGGAGTATTCCTGGTTCCAGTAAGGCACAGCTGGTACTGATCAAGCTTAATAATACAACCCTCCTTTTTTTTTAGTTAGGTGGTACATTATGCACTAGGTGTTCCAGCAATCTCCTATTGCCCCTACCTCTGTTAGTCTGTCTCATCACAGTCCTCTCTTCCAGAGCTCTAGGAAGGAAAGGAAGAACAAGGTCGCTTCTAAAAGGATGACACCTGTACTGAGACCCTAAATGTAAAAAAGAAAAACCTAAACATTTGAACTCAAAGGACAAACTATTAAAAATTAAGTTACATAAAATCTCTTTCTACACAAACTGAATCAAGACATAAGGCATACTACCAAACACTAGCTTGAGAGTCCAAAGTTCTTGAATGAAGTTAACTCTGCTAACTTATGAACCTACATTAATGCTTTGTCCCATTATCCATCTATACCAGGCAGAATGAGAACCCAAACTAGATCACTGATTCTCAATGGGGGCAATTTTGCATGGAGACATATGGCAATATCTTGGGACATTTTTGGTTGTCACAACTTGGGTGAGGGGTGTTACTGGCATCTAGCAGATAAGAGGCTTGGAATGCTGCTAATATCCTACAATGTATCAGACAAACCCTACAACAAAGATTTATCTAGTCCAAAATGTCAACATTGCCACAGTTGAGCAACACTGTATTAAACACAGAGTGGTACCTAATTATCATCCTTCACTACTGAGTACAGCCTTCACAAGTCTCCAATTTATATGTCTCATATCCCAATATATGTATCTATTATAACATTTATCTCATCATATTATATTTAGATAGCTATCTTCTCTGATATACTGTGAATTCCTTAAACCAAAAGTCGGTTAATCTGCAATGTGGCAGGGCCTAGCACTGTGTGAACAATCAATAAATGAATGAATAAGTGAATAGGTAAATGAATGAAAAGTTCTCAATTTAGCCCCGCTGAGAGCGGCTCAGTGGTTGAGCACTGACCCAGGAACCAAGTGGTCAGGGTTCAGTTCCCGGTCAGGGCACATGCCCGGGTTGTGGGCTCAATCCCCAGTAGGGGTGTGCAGGAGGCAGCCGACTGCTGATGTTTCTCTCTCATCTATGTTTCTACCTCTCTATCTCTCTCCCTAAAAATCAATAACAACTTTTTTTTTTTAAATGTTCTCAATTTAAACTCTAAGGTCTAGTAAGATTTGGCCCCAAATCTACCCTCCTTCCTGAAGGATGATCAGATTTGTTTTAGGAACAATGCTGAATTTGACAGTTTTTAAACAGGGCAAAACATGATGAAACTATTATTTCAAAAAGATAAATCTGTTGGACAGAAACTGGCGAAAGATTAACTCAGAACAATAAAATTAAAGTGGGAAGTGAAATAAGGTTGCAGAGTTAAAGACATTTTAAAGAGAAAAACTGTCAGGGCTTGGAGACTTCACACAATTCCTTAAAATTACCTTTATATATCCTCTCTTCTGTACAATTAAATTTACCTCTTAACAACTCATCTTAGGTTTTTATGTATGGCTCAACAATGTCCTAATATACATCAGCCATTTCCAGAAAGGTAACATTCCATGTAAATGGAAGGTGCTTAGGAGCCATCTTTCCATGGAACTTGTTTCTATATCCAAAATGCTTTATTTTTCATTATGAAACTCTGGGTCAACATGACCCTCAAAAGTTCTTTACAAGAACTTTTGCTAATCCAGAAAGTTAAGTAGGTTGAAGTGTGTGTTTTTTCAAACATCTAGATTTATTTAACAGGAGCAGATGCTTATGTTGAGTATGGCAGCCAACCAAGATTTCTGCCTTTGTTTAGGAACAGCCATGTCAGTTTAATGTAATTCAGTTATTTTTTTTATAACCAGCAGAAGTAGTTACATTTCAGGAAGATGAGGTGTGAGTTCCTTAGATTTACCTCTGATAAGCACTCAGTATAAATCAGGACATAAAACTACACAGACTGAAAAACACATGTGTCTTTAAGAGCAACCTGAGAGTCTCAGGAGCACATTGAAAGAAAAGGGTTTTCTCCTATTTAATGCTTTGAAAGTTACTACAGTGATTTTTTTTCCCAAAAGAAAAAGACAACAACAGTGAACCCATTGAAAAATAAAGGTCTTATTTAATCCTAAATCAGAGCTTCCTGCCAGATATTAATCCTAAAGAGAAATTATAATTTGCAACTGCATACATGTAGTTTATGCTCTTAATGTCTATCCTCCTGATGCAAAACCAAGATTACAGCCAGATGGGAATCAGCTTTACTATCCCCAGCATCTGGCCCTAAGCACACTGCCAGAACAACGTCACTATTAATGGGGACTTAGGCCTGAGAACCCAGAGTCCTTGTCTAGGCTCTGATGCAGCCCTGCGGTATGATCTAAGAGCCACATTACTGTCTCCCTGAACAGAGCTACCTACACAATAAACAGGTCAAGTGGATTAGCATATGCACTGTAATAAAGTACACATTTAACCTGGATCCCAGAACACTTATGGTCAAACCTTATTTTCTAAAAAAAAACTCCAGAGACAAAAACATATATATGGTACTGTACTGAGCCATAGCTTTTACTGGGAAACCTAGGATGACTATAGGATCATTCTGGCTGTTTACCTGGGAGCTGCAGAGAGCAACTTCCAGAAAAATACTACACTGGCATTGCAGTTCCTTTACATTTCTAGGAGAGTGGTGTGTTTGGGAGAGAGGGGAAAGCAGGCTAGGGAAGCACAGTGGATCTTCTCTACGATTAATAGTACCATTTCATTAAAAACCGTCTCACCCTCTTACACATATACACACCCATAGACACATTTATGTACACACTTCCATTCTATAGATGTCCATTGTGTTTCTAGATTTAAATAGTACTGGACCTAGAGAATATTCGTGTACCATAAAACATGTTTTATAATTAAACTTCAAAATGTTCTATCTGCCAAGATAACCTTCAAAAGCATTTCATGCCATGAACACCATACACTTACCATTCTCAAGTATGACATCCACAGCCACAGTTGTCAGATCCTTAGTACAAGCAGCCCGAATGTCCTCAGGAGGAGGAACGAATGTGCTAAGGCCAGTTGTTCTGTTGACATAAACCGTTCTTCCCAGGGCTACATCGAAATGCTGCTGCCAACCCAAAGCACACGTGTTCGACTCTTCATTTCCAGAACAAGTTCCTGCTATAGAGTCCTCACTCTGCAAACAACTTCCACTTGGGTTGGTTGTGGAATCGCCTCTGTGATCCATTAACATTCCTCTGGGAGAGTTAGGACTTCTCATCTGCTGCTCCGAAGCTGTAAGAACATCTGAATCTTTACTAATAACTGCAGAATTATTATTGGCTACTGCCAAATTTGTTTCTGGTACCACAGAGTTCTCTGTTGTACTGTTGTTAGAATATGTTTCACTATCTTTATTGGAAGAATTATCCTGTGTGACAGAGTCTAACATCGGGATGATGACACTCCCTGTTTTTTTATGCTCATTTTTAAATAACATACAAGAATCTAGGGATAACCCACTGCACAAGTCACTGTCTTTCCTACTGGAATCTGCTTGTGGAAGTTCAGTAAAATGACTCATCATCTCCACTGTTTGAGTCTCTTTTTCAGAACCTTTCATTTTGGATAATTTAGAGGCTAGTGAGTCAGGTGATTTCTCCACATCCAAAGGTTTTCTGTTCAAGTGATGCAGATCCTTTAGAATTATAGGACTTTCTCTTAAGTGAGGCATCTGGTGTTGTAAGCAGTCTTCTTCCTCGGAGAATGGGAAGTTTTCTGAGTAAAGGATGTGGCTTACTGGTTGACAACTACTACTGGAGTCATTGTGTTTCACAGGGGTGGTTTTACACATATCAGCGTTGCCTAAGTGGTTTTTGTCTCTCTGTGGAATGCCAGGTTCGACCTGAGGACTGAGATTGGTATTGATTTCAAAATTATTTTCATCCGGTTCTGTATTCAGAGGATGTTTAACCTTCCCATAGTGTCTCTTAAACTTCTCTAAAGATCCTAGCTGTGAATTTAAGCTTAGCTTCTTAGGGGCTATGGGTCTGGAGAAACCAACCGACTTACCTTTTCTCCCACTCCCATCTGAAATGTGCCTACACCAAGAGAAAGGGGATATGTCCGGTAACAGGCCACCTGGGTGTAATTTTTTACTACCTTCCTGCAAAATAGCAGATTTTCTGTAAGTCGGTATAGAGTTATTCTCTAGCCTATAACCTATATTTGCTCTGCGCAATTTTTGGTTGGGCAGTTGAGCAAATTCTGTACTTAAAGTGCTGGTTAAATCTTTGATGTCTGGAGTCTCCACTGAATGGCGTGTTCTATTTTCAAGTGTTTCTTTGGCACTCACAGGACCGGGTCGAACACAGTTTTTAAATAGATGTTCTGTTTCAGTTGGTTCATTTTGTACCACATGAGTTATAAAGCCAGTGGAACATAATTTAATTTGTCCATAACTAAAGACGTTTATTCTTCCACAATTACTAGATTCTTTTTCTCTTTTCTCTTCCTCCCCCTGAGCACCATGTACTCCCAATAACATTGTCTCAAAAGGCAGAGGCTGGTGTCCCATTTCAGTAGCACCTTTAAATGTGTCTAGCTGATTCTGAATTCTATTCTTTTTCAGGATGTCAGTAGCCATGCCATCAACAGCAGTACTTATTTTCTGTATTTCTAGATCTTCTCCACTCTCCTCAAAGTGATCTAATGTCTGGAAAGGGCTTGCAAACATTTCTGAACTGGTTCCACATGGATTTTCTGAAGAGTTAAGTTTCAAGCAAGATTTTTTATGTTTCTCATTTTCTGATTCTGAAGCTCTAGCTCTCTCTTGTTCTAAGACCCTTGATTCTGAGCAAGAGCTATCCTTGTTTTGTAAAGTTGACTCTGTCATTTTACTATGACCTGGGCCATCTGATTCATAAATATACAAAAATGAATCATTTGTCTTTTTTCTGATAGCTTCTGAATCCCTAGAATTCTGTGTGTTTATGTTTTCTGTAGCTTTTCTTTTTACAGCTTTTGATTGCAAATTAAACATTTCATAGGAATCTAAAATATTATTACATGCTTCTTGGAAACTGACTTTGTCACACTTCTCATCCGAGGACACATGCTTCTGTAGAGTGGCACTAAATAAACTAAAATCATTATCTTCACTAAATTCCTTAATGTCCTCACCTGATAATTCCACAAATAATTTTTCTTTCTTTAAAAACATCTTCATTCCTTCCTGAATGCAAACCAAAACAGTATCCCAGTTCTGAAACTCAATCAGAGTTTTTGCTGGCTCCATACACACATCATATTCACAGGACTGGCACTGTATATTGATTACATATATCCCATGGAGTTCTGGGTTAGACCGATGCCGAGGACTTGAATTCATTTGCCTACTGGCAGAACTGTTTTTTGGCTTGCATATAATACTTTCTTTTCTTAATAAAAAGTCAATGAGTTTATGCAATTTCGTTCTTAAAACTAGCCTCTTGTTCACAAACAAAAACTGCATATTCTTATTGTAGTGGGCTTCAGAGCTGATATAGCCACTAAGCTCAAACTCTTTGTGTTTAAAATGTATTTCTCTTAACTTTTGGGACTTACCTAGTCCATAAATTTGACAAAATCGGGAACATATGTCTTTGGTTTTAGGGAGTTGAAGAACCATGGAACCAGAGACATCATTTCTCAAAGAGAAAGAAATGGAAGGGTGCATGAGTGAGAGAGCTTCTATCCTTTGCCTAACCTTCTCAAACTCCAGTCTAGGATCCATGCATTTCCTCCTTACAGGTAACTGATAAAATAGGTTATACACTGTTACCGTTGTTCCAGCACTCGGTCTAGTCAAGTCAGCTTCACAAGCTTTTAGGGCTTTTCCATTCTGAAACAGTTTCATAAAAGTCTTCACTGTTCCATTTTTCTTGGATGAAATTTCCACAGCACTGGCCATGTCAGCTATACTGGCCAAGGCCTCCCCTCGGAAACCATAAAACCTCAGGTTGTCCAAGTCCTGTATGCAGTTGCATTTACTAGTGAAATAACGATTTCCCACCTTGTCTACATCATCACTTCCCATCCCAAATCCATTGTCAATCACTTGAATTTGGAAGATTTCCATGTTCACCCTCACAGCCACACATTTTGCTTCAGCATCAAGACTGTTGAGGGCAAGCTCCTCCACACATTGGCCTAAGGAGCATATAGCCAAACCAGAACGCAATTTGGCTTGTACTTCATCTGACAAGCACTTGATCATGGCAGGTGGAAAGCTGGTGAGAATGCCAGGCAGTGGTTTCCTTCTCTGAGTATAAATAATTGCCTTTGGGAGAAAAATAAAACAAAAACACACCTATCAAAGCTTCAGAATTACATAGCATTACCCATTTCTCTGAAGCATTATGAAAGACTATCATTTGATGTAAATGAAATCTCTTACTAAAACACATTGTAAAACAAAACAAATGACAGCTCTGATCTCTAGGCAGCTCACGCAGCTCAGGTTTGATGCAATGAACTTAACATCCAAAGCAGCCCTGATAATTTCATCATTTTCACTGACCCCGTCTAAATCCCACATGCCCTAAAGTGAGATCATAATCACATTTGAAGCTGACCCGTGAAAACAGTGTTCGAAATTCTAATCACTTCACAAAAAACAGATGCCTAAATTCCGCTAACATTAGCTAGAAAGTATTCACACACAAAAATCTAAGCTAGTTTCATAACATTTATACATTACACAATAACCATGACTTTTAGAAAAACTTGTAAGAAGTATTAAGATGTTGTGATAAGGTGAAAGAACAGGAGGGAATAAAGTCAAATTATTGTATCAAGAAGAGATGGGCATAACAAGGCTATTGTTAATAATTACTATATTATTATGGTTAAGTGTAGTTAACCTCGGGGAAAAGGCTGGGAATGGGAAAGGCTAAGGCAGGAAAGTTCCTTTTCATTATAAGCCATTCTCTATCATTTGATTTTACTTTGATAAAAAGTTTTCAGAAGGTTCTTATTATGAATATTCTTTGTGTTAATACTCTGGTCTTTACAATGGCTACAAACTACCTTGCCAATAACAATGATGGTAAAGGACTGTCTAACCTTGATTTTTAAAATTTCCTCACAGGTTAAAAAAATATATATATATAAAAATAGTGTAATTAAAGGTCCTATCCCTTCTTCTTAGTTGAGAGAGCAGCACTGTCTAGACCTCTTGCTGGCAGGGCTAGTTTTTGAAACCTGGGAAAATCAGAGCTATAACTGCTTATACAGAGTGGGGCAAAAGTAGGTTTACAGTTGTTCATATGGAAAATACCATAATAAATAAATAATAATACAAGAAATAAACTGTGACTAACAAGTGTAAACCTACTTTGGCCCCACCCCGTCTGATGATTTCTAAGGCAAAGCAAAGCTTTAGGGGACCGGCCCGCCCAGGCCTCTCCAGGCTCAGGC